TAGTGACATTTGTCAGGGTGTAATGTTATTAACCATCTGCCAGTCCACATATCCATCTTGTCAAGATCCATTTGTAGGCTTCTGCAATCAGCTTCCTTTTTAAACCTCTTGAAGACCATATTGTCATCTGCAAAAAAGTACCCAAATACGAGATCTGGCAGAGATCAACAAGCACCTACCAAGTATATTCTGGCAGGATAGAGATTGGATCTTTCCATAGTTGATGATAAATTCTTTGAGACGTCTACAAGAGCTGTCTTGCCAAACTAATATTGTGGAGGTTTATCTCTGTGTTTATAACCATGGACACTGCACTAATCATGGGAATTAAAGGAAGATTCACAATAGCCATCTAAACATTAGCTTTACTTTCTTTAAGGAGATATAATGTCTAACTGTAATTAATAAGCAGTGGGTTTTTCATAGGAAATATTTTTTGTAATTTTTAGTTGTGTTCAATGATAGAAGTCTTTACAAGGTGTACTTTTACAATATGCTTACATGTCCACCACTTACATGCCTCATCTGTGCTTCTGCCACAGCCATTATACTTGTGGTGCTGAACCAAAGACAGAAAAACCCAACCCTTGTATATATTCTAGGAAGATTGAGCATTTAACCCACCAGTAGTGATTAATTGTTGGGTACAGAACAGTGCAAGCTCCTGCCTTGCCATTATATATATATATATATATATATATATATATATATATATATATATATATATATATATATATATATATATATATATATATATATATACACACACACACACACACACACACACACATATATATATATATATATATATATATATATATATATATATATATATATGGTAGAGCTTTGTTGTCCTTTGCCAAAGCACTGAAAGCTTGGAGGCTGTTGTTAATTCTTGATACTCATTGACACTTAAATATTTGATGATAAATTGCTAGGGAGATCTACAAGCTATCTCTTTCCAGAATGTACATGGTAGAGGTTTATTAGCCTTTGCATATGTATGCATATAGACTCTTTACAAGAACAGTATATATTAATTTATGACTTTATATATATTTTATGCTTATGTCTAAATGTTTTTCTTTTCACAGGAGTATGATATAGGAGAGCAGTTAGGAAGAGGTGGCTTTGCCACAGTGTACAGAGCACGATGCAGAAACACAGGAAGGGATGTGGCTATTAAAAAGGTTCAGTAGCACAAATTATTTTTTATTTGTCAGAAACATAAATCAAATATTTATTTCCATGCTGTTTTCCTTAGTCTCATTTTTTGTATTTTCCTAATTTTTGTCTTTAATTTTTCCTTTCATTTTCCTTCACTTCTCTCTTTGTTGACTAATATTTTACTCTCATGATTACTCCAATTACAGAGAAACATTGAAAGAGAAAAACAAGCAAAACATCTTTTGAAAATCATGTTTACATTCCAGATCAACAAGAGTGAAATAGCAGCTGGTGGACTTATAAATCGTGTCCGACAGGAGGTGACGATCCATTCGAAGCTGAATCATCCAGCAATACTAAAGCTGTATGCATTCTTTGAGGACCAGAGCTTTGTTTATCTGGTGCTAGAACTGTGCTCAAGAGGCGAGCTTCAGAAGCATATCAAAAGTCTAAGAAGAGTTTTAAATGAAGATGAAGGTGAGTATGATTTCATTGTCCCTATCTTATGTTTGGTTGTTGAAAGTATTTTTTTTTTTTTTTTTTTTTTTTTTTTTACATAAAGCAAACTTGTGATCATATAGAACTTTAGAACTGTTATTTAAGCTATGATGAATACCAGTAATATTCCATATAAACATTTGCTAATATGTGCAGCAACAATATATTGTATTTGTCTTATGTGGACTTGGATATAGCATTGAATCTGGACATGGTAGTCTGTTATTTCTTCATCTAATGATATATTGACATTATAGGATTTCAAAGATTTACAATTATCTTTCTTCTTGTACTCCTAAATGTAATTATGATTTTTTTCCCCTCACCAGCTCGTGAATATCTCAGTCAGGTGGTGGCAGGGATGCTGTACCTCCATTCCCAGTCTATCATGCACAGAGATCTTACATTGTCAAATCTTTTACTTGACAATAATGGTAGGGTTAAAATTGCTGATTTTGGACTTGCGACACAGTTGCGCCGCCCAGATGACCGACACATGACAATGTGTGGAACACCCAACTACATAAGGTATTTTAATTACCATATTAATAAATTACTGTTATCATACTGGTATTGTAACTGTAATTATAAATGATATCAATATATATCTATATATATTTAAATTATAATTATTAATATTATAATGATTATTATTATTTGATTTTTATTTACATTTTTCATATTGACAAAAAGAAAGCATAACAGCAATTTAGGGATAAATGGATAAGAATTTAATGTTACTAGTAAAGTTAATTGTTAGAAATTTTTCTGAAGTTGCTAATGAAAAAGTAAAGCATAAAGTTTAAATTTTCTTTTTCATACAAATGAAAGGCTGTTCTAGGTATGATGGTACTCATTGATATACAAAAAGCCTGTTAACTATTATTCATTCATGAACATCTTCAGACTTTAAACTACAGCTTTCTCTCAACAGTCCTGAAGTAGCCACCCGCAGTTCCCATGGTCTCGAATCTGATGTGTGGAGCCTAGGGTGTATGCTGTTTATAATGCTTGTGGGACATCCACCCTTTGACGGGGAGGGAGTGAAAGAATCAATATTCACGCGCGTGGTGATTGGTGATTACAAGGTATTTAGGAAAGGAATGTTCCATGGATTTTCTGGATATACAGTATATATATTTTTTCTTCTCTTTCATTTTGTTTTTCTTGTCCTTTTTCTTCTTCTTCATTCTTTGTATTGTTTCATAGATTTTACTCTTGTTTATTTCAAGAAAAGGAAGCATCTTGTTAGAATTCCAGCAATTGTATATGATTTTAACTTTGGTAATATTTACAGATCCCAAGTTATGTGTCAGCAAATGCCCGTTCTCTTGTTTCGGAGTGTCTCAAGAAGAACCCAAGAGAGAGGATCAAGCTTCAGGCTATTCCCCACCATCCTTTCATGGCAGTTGGAGGCAAAACTGACATCTCCAGAACATCAGACAGTGGGCTATACACCATGACTACTGTGGCCACGACACAGCACACACGACCCCCCTTGACCACCATATCTGAGAGTGATTTGTCAGATACAGAGTCAAGTGGGTCAGAGAACAGACAAGGAGGGCAACCTCATAGGTTGCCTTACCTCAGACACCCTCCCTCTCCTCCAATTCGTATGAAGTCCAAGTAGGTTTATTGTTTATGCTTATCATTTTGTTAATGGATTTCAAGATATTGTTACATTTCATGGATTGTGAAATGCCATGATACTGTGTACCTTACATGGATTTGTTAGGTATAAATTATTTACATCTATTTTTTATTAATTTTTTTCTTCTTTTCAGCCCAAAAGATCTACTTCCACCAAATGCTGGGGTGATAGATACCCTGAAAAGAAAGTTCACCCCATTACCTTCACTGCAAAGAGGAGATTTCAGTCATTCTAATATGCCAATGCCTCCTCTGATTAGACGAGAACGAGATGTTTCAGAGGAGAGACAGAAGCACCAACCGATGTATAGCCAGAAGCAGTCATCTCATAATGATGATAAATCTGACTCCTCTCAATATTCCTCCTCACACATGAGTGATGAAGCTTATCATTACCATTCAGGTGAGAAGAGAAGCAGCAGGGCCAGGGATCACAGTGCAAGCAGAAGTCAAAACTATCATTCTGCAGGTAGAAGTCCAAGCAGAAGGGAGAGGTCCCGTGAGCGCTATGGCAATGCCCACAGAGAAGTATCAGATAATTACAGAATTCACAGTGACTCTGATGAAGCAAAGGAGAGAGGAGGTCACCCACGTAGTAGGTCGAAACAGAGAAGCTACAGCCAAGATTATCCTCAGAGGGGCAACAGGGATGCTTACCATTCAGAGGAAAGGAAAGAGCATTACCATTATGGACGGTCTTTAGAAAGACCTGAAGAAAGGCCCCATAGAGAACATTCTGGTCATAGACATAGAGAATCATCCAAAGATAGGTATAGTGAAAGAACCCGAGATGATGAATACCAAAGGAATAGATCTAGAGAGAGACATCAGCATTATCACAGTGATAAAACTAACAGGAGAAGGGATGAGGAACTGCACAACCAGAACACTCACCCATGTTGTGAGAGTTCACAACATAGATCCTGGTGTAAGCAGAAAGGACGTAATGATTCAGAAAAGAATGTATCTAATTATGAAAGAAATAGATACACTAGTAGATGTGAAAATGACAGATGTGGTGCCAGTGACAGGGTCCATGCTCCAAGTCAGCATCAGCACACAGGACATGAACGACCAGTCAGGGCTGAGGGGTCGTCATCTCATCGTGATATGAATATCCTGGGTGACCTTGCTCCTTTTAAGAATTCAGTTCCATCTAAGAAAGATAGTGAAGATGCAAGACCAGGCCATGGTGGCACAGTGCATGAACAACATCCTGTAACTCCAACAAAGAGGAAACCAGATTTAAACTGCCAGACTCTCAAGCAGCAAGTTTCACCTCTTTCATCAAGAAGGCTGAAGCCTATCCGTCAGCGCACTAAGAATGCCTTTCTAAATATATTGGAGAATGGTGAAATATGTTTAGAATTCCTTCGGAATACGAAAGGACAAGAAGTTGTTGCTGATGTCTGCAGGATATCACCAGATGGAATGAGGGTAAGATATATCATGATTTTTATTCATTTGTGTTTAGGCAAGAATTTTGTCAATAAGGAGATTTTAATAGGTGGTCAGATAGATAAATAAGTAGATTGATTAATAGGCAGATATATAGATATTAACATGCACACATATTAATTCTATTTGCAGATTGTCCTTTACCAACCCAATGGAGGTTCTGGGTCACAGCCTGGAAATGCACCTCCACCATTGCCGACTGAAGGAGCGGATTCTATTTATGGCTATGAAAATCTCCCAGCTAAACACTGGAAGAAATATGTTTATGCTGCAAGGTATGTATGCCAAATAGCAGAAAATGTTTCTTGCTGTTATTAGGTTTGATTGTCTTTGCTTGGGTGAATGTATTATCTTTAACAAAAGTTTTTACTTTACAGATTTGTGAAGGTAGTGAAGGCAAAGACTCCTAAAATTACCTACTACAGTGACCAGGCCAAATGTTTGCTGATGGAGAACTCGCCTGATCCCGACTGTGAAGCTGTCTTCTATCATGGTATGTATTTATGTGTTTTCAAGACTCCACTACTCATTAGTCAGTTTTTATGTGTAATTAAGAAAACAGTGGAAATTAGCACTTTGTAAAATGCAGTGCAGCACTTTGGTCTCTGACAGAGTAATGGCAATAGTATATCATGTAAATACAAACATTTCAGGGTTGTAAATAGAAGCATTTCAGAGATGTTAATATTTTTTTCTGTATATATTTTCACTCTGGCAATGATTGTAGAGATAAGATGAAAGTAACTGAGATGCTTATGCTGTGATAATCAAAATGGAAATTAGAAGGCTGTCCATGTCTGTTAAAAACTTGTGATGTCATAACATCAATTCTTGCTTTTATTACAAATTACAGTAGGAATTGATAGTCCCTAGTTTACATCAAGATGTAATGTGGGAGAGTCTAGAACATTCTACAATGAAATGTGACACACACACACAAAAAAGAAATTATGTATTGTGGAGGTGCTAAAAACCTGCATTGGGATTTAAATTCTGTTTCATAAACTAGATCTATATGTCTTTTAGTAATTATTTGAATTATTCAGTTCCTGCTTCTCAAGGCTCCAAACTGCAGCTCTTTGTTTTTGTTTTTTACCCCATTTAAAAGTTTAGAGAGTTGATACTCCCTAGGTTAATTATTACAATGGTCAGTTTTGTGGATAATTTGTAAGCATTTATTTGTCATATTCAGTATATTGGGATAGGTGTGAAGGTGCTGAGGTGGGGCTCATCATTTTTGGGAAATAAAGTGAAGCAACTTCTGTGTGGCTGAGGCTAAAAAAGGACTTTGCTCTTTTTTTTAAGATTAAATATATACATACATTGAGCTATTACTTTACAAAGGATCAGTTGTGGAAGAGCAACTGAATAGATCATGCAGGGATATATTGAGACTCATTTCCATCTGTACACATATATATGATAGTACATTAGATGGGTAGCATTAACCCATTCAGTACTATGTGGCATTTAACTTTTTCTTTCCAACAGGAACAAAAATCACAAAGAGTGGGAAGAATGTGACATTAACAGAAACTACTGGTGTAGTACACAATATACCACAGCCATCTGGACACCATAACCTACCAGAGCAGCTTCAGCCAATTTACCTGCATTTTAAACAGGTATTTATTCATATGAATAATCTGTGGATATTGCACAGTAGAGATGCTGATTGTGTATAAACATGCTTGTTAGCATATGATACATATGTTTTTATGTAAGGTGATATAATATAATTTCCTACAGAAAAGCAGAAGACATGTATGTACATGTTCCTGGATGAATAATGTATTTGACGACTTTGACTTCTGTTGCTTCTGACCTTCAAAAGGATTTCTCAATCTAATTTTCCTTCATTTGTCTCTTATCAGATCCATGAACACTGCCTGTATTTGGAAAGAGTTCTCTCAGAGGTTGTTGAAAAGACTGGTCTGAGTTGCTTTCCAATCATTGTAGGGCGTAAGCCTGCATCAGCGTCAGCAACTCCTCCAAGCAGTGCTCGTAGTTCTTCTAGCCCACGAGAAGACAAAGAAAACCTTTCACCAGTGTCTGTGCAGTCGTACAAATTGCCAAGAAACGTTGCAGCACAGGTAGATTAATTACATTGTCTCATTTTATTGTTAGTGTTATTTGATTTGAAGATAGTCAGACTTATTACACTGGCGGAAATTTAGTAATGATAGAACCATAATATGCAAATGGATATATCTTCTCTTCTATTTTTGATAAATATTATTTGTCTGTGGTATAAAACTGACAACTTCTTTTTGTCCCCATCTAAAAGCTCGGGTCATTTGAGGGCTCTGTTGCAAGTGTTCAGGTAGGAGGAAACTCCATCCCTCGACTGCGCGCACCACTGAATCCCCACATCCCTCGAAATGACTCCAGAGGAACAGTGGGCTCCTCAAAACATTCTGTCTCTCGAGTCTATGTTCACAACGTTGGTTGGGCGTCACAGGTAAGTTATGAGTATTTGGAACTTCAGTAAGGTATCAGCCAGTGATGATGGTGAAATTTCTGATGAATTTTCTGTATTTTATTGTAAGGCATGTTACAAAAATAATAATTGTTATCAGCTTTTATTTCATGTTAGTTCTGAAATTAAAGTTTAAAAATATGCATAATAATAATATAATTATAATCATCTGTTCACCTCATTCATTCTTTTGGTTCTCTAAGGCAGAGGTTACTTCAAAATAATTTTAAATTCTAATGTATTTC